TCATAAGCCATGGGAGCAAGGGGTATGCTGGGTCCCCAAGGATAACTATTGGCATTTCAACATCCCCAACGGTAATTTTCTGGTCTGGGAAGAAAGTTCCTTCTTGCAGCTTTCCTTAGCAAAAGGGTACTGATTGCCCTGGCTACTTGGATCACAGCAGCCCCCACCGTAGACTTGCCCACTCCAAATTGATTACCAACTGACCGGTAGCAGTCAGGCATTGCAAGCTTCCACAGGGCTATCGCCACTTGCTTCTCAACTGTCGGGGCAGATCTCATCTTGGTATTCTTGAGCTTCAGAGTGGGGGAAAGCAACTCACAAAGTTCCATGAAAGTGGCCTTACGCATGTGAAAGTTTCGCAGCCACTGGGAATCATCCCATACCTGCAACACTATGCGGTCCCACCAGTTTGTGCTTGTTTGCCAGGCCCAGAATCGGCGTTCCACTGTATCAACATGCCCCAATGTCGCCATGATATCCCAATTGCCACATCCCGTGCTTTCAGGAACGTCTGTGTCCATGTCCTCCTCACAATCTTCCTTGTGCTGGCAGCTCCAAGCTAGGCTCTGCACATACTGCAGGATAATGCGCGAGGTATTTACAATCCTCACAAAAGCAGTGTGCAGCTGAGCGGGCTCCATGCTTGCCGTGCTATGGCATCTGCACGGATAACCCAGGAAAAAAGGCACTAAATGATTATTTGCCATTGCTTTCAAGGAGGGAGGGAGGGAGGAAGGAAGGAGACTGATGACGTGTACCCAAAATCACCCGCGACAATGTTTTTGCCCCATCAGGCATTGGGAGCTTAACCCAGAATTCCAATGGGCAGCGAGGACTGTGGGATAGCTACCCACAGTTCACAACTCCATGAGTCTATGCTAGCCACGGTATTGAGAATGCATTCCGCCAACCTAATGAGCTTAGTGGGGACACGCACAATCAACTGTATAAAATTGGTTACTAAAGATCGACGTCTATAAAATCAACCTAATATCATAGTGTAGACATGTCCTGAGATACACAGTTGAGGGAAGTTTGCATTGCTATGGTCTATTACAGGGGTAGGCAACCCATGGCACACGTGCCAAAGGCGGCACGCGAGCTGATTTTCAGTGGCACTCACACTGCCCGGGTCCTGGCCACCGGTCTGGGGGGCTCTGCATTTTAATTTAATTTTAAATGAAGCTTCTTAAACATTTTAAAAACCTTATTTACTTTACATACAACAATAGTTTAGTTATTTATTATAGACTTATAGAAAGAGACCTTATAAAAAGTTTAAAATGTATTACTGGCACACAAAACCTTAAATTAGAGGGAATAAATGAAGACTCGGCACACCACTTCTGAAAAGTTGCCGACCCCTGGTCTATTATCTCTACCTCTTCTGGGGATTGAGGATTTCATTATCCAGGGCCATTAATGACATTTTACAAATGATAAAAACACACAAGGCCAAACTCACCCCAGCATAATTGCATTTGGAGTCAATGGAGTTACAGCAGACCCATGACTCTTTCTAAAATACTTGTAAAAAGGTTGTGATTTTTTTAAATGGAGGGTAACATCAGCTTCCTATTATCCATTGTCCAATTTAGAAGTCCATCGGATCATTAGAAAACACAGCAATATAATGAGTTAGGCTCATGAGGGTTAAATATCAACCACAAAGAAAAAACAGTGTTTATAAACTATTATGAGCTAGAAAATTGAAATATTGAAGAAACAGATGGAAAAGAAAGAGTACGCCACAATAAAATCCCTTTAGCCTACACATCTTCTTGAACAATTTTCAACTACTAGAGAGGCCCAATAAACCATATAAGATTTGAAGGCTTTGTTTATCATTGTCACAGACAGAATTTGGTCAGTCATTCTAGGAGCTGTTAGATTTGTTAGATTTAAACTACACCAGCCAGTATAACTCAAGCTCTGCAAAAGCCAATTCACTGGTTGCTCAGTAGCAAGTGCAAAATAAATGAGTTACAAACAACTCTTTTTGCCCCCACTTACTGAAAAACTCTCATTTTGGGCTCAAGTTTTCCATGCTTGATCTTAGCTGAAACATGATGTATTTAAGAACATATGGAGAGAATCGATTCAATTGTTTTTTAGTTAAATTAGGCCAGGGTGTGGGTATTGAATATTAACTTTCCTTATTCTTAAAGGTGACTCACAAACAGGAAACAAAAATGGGTTTATGCCCTCCCTGTTCAGGGTGAGCATAAAGGCCTGAAAAGTGGCCTTTTTTAACTGGGGGAGTTACTATTTCTTAGAAATCAGTAATATCAAGTCTTCTTTTCCCTTTTCTGAAGGTCTTCTTGGAGGACCAGAGAACACAAAGCTTTCTCAGACCTTAACTGAAGGGGCAGAAGAGTTGAATTTTTAACAGAGATTTTTTTCTTTCTAACTGTTTGTCAAGTATTTGAGTTAAACAGGAGAGGGCAAAAAAAAAAAAAAAAGCCAAGCGTTTTAAGTAGTGTCTTTCCTCTCAATCGCTCAGACTGAGGAGGGTCGCTGATAGCCTTAATTATAATATACCACCTTGGGGGAAGCTAAGATTTTGCCACCGATATTTTTCGTAAAAGTCACGGACAGGTCACGGGCAAAAAAGAAAAATTCACAGAAGCCATGACCTGTCCGTGACTTTTATGAAAAATATCTGTGACAAAATGGGGGTCTGTGGGTCCCCACACCACCTGAAGCCGGCAGTGACCAGGAGCTCAGGGGTACCCTGTGGCAGCCGGGAGCTGCGGGGTACCCCGCTGCCTGCAGCAGCTTGGAGCTCTGGGAGCCACCAGAGGCAGTGGGGGTCCCCCGCTGCTCCCTGCCCCTCTGGCAGCGGGGAACCCTGCAGCTCCTGACCACCGCAGGCTGAAGTCATAGAGGTCACTGGAAGTCACGGATTCCGTGACTAAATCATAGCCTTAATTATAATTGCCTCGGAGAATAAGAAAAGCACTCAAACTAGAGAGACAGTGTGCTAGGAGTACCTAGAAAGAGCAGCAGCAGAGTGGCCATCACATCAGCAACCTGACTTGAGTATTGGGAGGAAGCTTCAAGTGTAATTAGACACCTTCTAGCTGTGGACTAATTGGAGGCCCAAATCAAGTCTGGAGACAACAACCTGACAGGATTCTCAGCACCCACCCCTTCCAGTAGTTGAGGGGTGGAGACTTCTCATCAGAGCAATGCCTCTGGATTTATTTGATGGACCCCTCCAAATCCTCCCTCATGTACTTTGCATCATTCTCCAGATAGCAAGTGCCTGGATACTGTACATTCTTAGGACTCCAGTTTAGTGACATATTTTGCCTAGGAACAAGTTATTTATACTACATTAGTGCCCACAGGCCCAACTCAGGATCAGGGCCCCATCATGTTGTGAAGACACTCAAGACATCTCACAGCCTATAGTTGGTCTCTATTACTGCCCTCCCCCCACCCCCTTGGTACTTCTCTGCTTCTATTTTGAACTGCATTATGCAGACTGCCAGCACCACATAGCTATAATGCCAACTTACAATGGCAAATCAATAGGTCTGCTATGCTCTTTGCAAAATTTGATCTCTGGAATTTGCTGTCTGCCAGTTAGTAAGATCAAAGCAGATAGTCATTTGCATTTTCAGATCAAAGACAGCACTCCTAGAGCAGGCTAAAGTAGTGATGTTGCTGGGGGTGATAAAGGGGATACAAGGCCAAAGTTTATCCTTTAGTGTCCCCAAAAGATTTCAAGTCATCCAAAAACCTCACTGTAACTTAAGAGTTATTTGTTCACAGCTTTCTGCTTACCTATTGTACACAGAGTACCCGCAAGCCATTCTTTTTTAGGGGCTAGAAGGGAGTGGGAAGTACCTAATTTACCAACATAATAGGGGGTGACCCAGAGCCAACTTTGTTATTTTGTAATATAATCAGAGCAATTATTTTTGACCCCACACTCAATTCGTTTGCTCAAGGATGTGTTGTACCATATTCCGGTAGAGGATGGGAGTCACAAGATAATTGCATTGAGGAACCTTCTGTGCGAAGACATGACTTCCCCTCTTCTATATTATAGCGCAGCACCCTGGAACCTCCCACAACAAGACACGACTGCATCCCCTCTGCTGTATCACAGCACAGCGCCAAGGAACCTCCTGCACTGACACACCAGTTCTTTATATTCATACAGTTTCTCTCCCAACACATCTTTTGGGTAAGACATTACACTTTGATGCTAGATTAACAATGGATTCCTAGAGGTCCTCCCTGTAGTCTTCCAGTGCCTGTTCAATGCAGGCATATGAAAAACAGCACCATTTACGAATAGGGCTTCCTAACCAAAACAGATGCAGGTGGCCGTGAATAGATCCAAGGGCATTCAAACTGAAACCCCACATGTTCCATCTTTGGCTACAAACACATTCATCTCACAAGAGAAACTCTGGAGGATCTGTACAATATTTAACTAGTAAGTGCCCACCACTGGTAGACAGGAAAATCGGGGGGAAGGGGGGCACCAGAAAGTGGATTCAGTGTGAAGCACTTTTCTCTGATTTACCAATAAGCCAGAGCCCCCAGCAGGATGCAATGGGCCATTTGGGGTGCCGGAAGTACTATGTTTTAGATGATATCAAGCCCATTTTTGTTCATTCAAGTTCACATAAAGCTTTTCACAAGGGTGTGCTAGCCCTGGCATCCTGATCACATTCCAGCTTGGGTAGCTACATTTTGCCTCCCTCAATTCCCCCTGCAGTCATATTGTCACGGTATTCATCTCCAAGGCCTGTCCCAAACCACTGTAGCCTTGGCGAGCTGCGCACTGCCCACCTGGGGCCGCTCTCCACCCCAGGAGGGGGGGTTCTGGGCCAGCCACGGGCTCTCTCTCGCGCTAGCGGGTGAGTTGGACTGAAAGGCACGGAGCACATCCCCTGTCCCTGGGATGTTTGGGAGCCCCAGGCCAGCAGGTCGCAGCAGGCGCAGGGCGCCCCGTTGACGGACACTGCGGATGCGGTTACCTCACAGTTGAACTCCATCTCGGCGTCCATGGTAATAATCCGCACGGTGAAGGTTTTCGGCTGTTTTCTCTTCAGGGAGCTGAAGCTCATCCGAGACGCTATGGCACCGGCCATGGTGAGGCGCTGGGGGCAAGGTCTGAGAAGGCCCAAAGCCCGTAGGGGGGCCGGGGCCGGGTGCGGTACAAGACCCTCGCAGGTCAGCCAACCCCCCCGGCTTGCAGCGGGGGGCAGCGCAAGGCAAGCGGGGGGCAGGGACGTTGCATCAGCCTGACTCCGGGCCCACAGCTCACCCCAGCACTCCTGCCTTGAGAGCTGGGCGGCCGGCGGCGGCGTCAGGGAGACTGGCGAGACCTCGCCTAGGGGCCGGGCTGGGGTTGGCGAGACCTAGCCCGGGACGGGAGGCCGAAGGGGACCTAGCCCGGGGGAGGTCGGGGCCCTGGCCCGCAGCGCGGGGCGATCTCCACAGCTCCGGGGGCCGCTCGGGGATCGGGCCCTACCGGGGGGCGGGGCTGCTCTCAGGGGCGGGGGTCCGCAAGAAGCAGAGCCGGGCAGGAACCAGCGCTACCTGCCTCACAAAGCTCCGCTCGCCTCAGCCAGCGCAGCCTAACCGCACCGCTCTCCGCCATTGGCCCAGTAGCCCGCCAGGGGCGGGACACCGCCCTTCCTCCCGCCTCCTGGAGGGGCATCTCAGCCAATAGGACGTTCCTCCCGCCTAGACCTCCGCGTTATCTACAATTTGACTGGCTATTGGCGCTGCCATTCGGTAGCCTTTGGTTCCCATACGGTCCCGCCTTCCCAGCAGGGTTGGTTGAGAGACTGCTGAGCAAGGCAGGCCCCTGGCGGGAAGGCGAAGCACGGGCTCTGGCTCCCCCTAGCGGTAGCCCTAACCCTGCTCAGCCTCACGCCCGGGGTTCCCCTCTGAGGCCTGGTCTACGCTACGAGTTTAGGTCGACTTTATCAGGGTTAAATCGAATTAAGCCTGGACACGTCCACACGACGAAGCCCTTTCTTTCGACTTAAAGGGCCCTTTAAACTGGTTTCTTTACTCCACCTCCGACGAGGGGATTAGCGATAAAATCGGCCTTAGCGGGTCAGAATTGGGGTAGTGTGGACGGAATTCGACGTTATTGGCCTCCGGGAGCTATCCCACAGTGCTTCATTGTGACCGCTCTGGACAGCACTCTCAACTCAGATGCACTGACAGGAAAAGGTAGACAGGAAAAGCCCCGCGAACGTTTGAATTTCATTTCCTGTTTGCTCAGCGTGGAGAGCACAGGTGACCACGCAGAGCTCATCAGCACAGGTAACCGTGATGGAGTCCCAGGATCGCAAAAGAGCTCCATCATGGACCGAACGGGAGGTATGGGATCTGGCTCACCATATGGGGAGATGAATCAGTGCTAGCTGAACTCCGTAGCAGTAAACGAAATGGCAAAATATTAGAAAAGGTCTCCAAGGCCATGAAGGACAGAGGCCATAACAGGGACGCACAGCAGTGCCGCATGAAAATTAAGGAGCTAAGGCAAGCCTACCACAAAGCCAGAGAGGCAAACGGAAGGTCCGGGGCAGAGCCGCAGACATGCCGCTTCTACGTGGAGCTGCATGCCATGCTAGGGGGTGCAGCCACCACTACCCCCAACCGTGTGCTTTGACTCCATCAATGGAGAATCACGCAACAGGGAAGCGGGTTCGGGGTACGAGGAAGATGATGATGAAGACAATGAAGATAGCTCACAGCAAGGAAGCGGAGAAACCGGTTTCCCCAACAGCCAGGATATGTTTATCACCCTGGACCTGGAACCAGTAACCCCCGAACTCACCCAAGGCGTGCTCCCAGACCCTGAGGGCGCACAAGGGACCTCTGGTGAGTGTACCTTTGTAAATATTACACACGGTTTAAAAGCAAGCGTGTTTAATGATTAATGATTCATTTGCCCTGGCAATCGCGGCCAGTACAGCTACTGGAAAAGTCTGTTAACGTGTATGGGGATGGAGCGGAAATCCTCCAGGGACATCTCCAGAAAGCTCTCCTTCATGTACTCCCAAAGCCTTTGCAAAAGGTTTCTGGGGAGGGCTGCCTTATCCCGTCCGCCATGGTAGGACACTTTACCACGCCAGGCCAGTAGCAAGTGGTCTGAAATCACTGGAGCACAAAACATGGCAGCGTATGGTCCCGGTGTTTGCTGGCATGCAGACAACATCCATTCCTTATCTCTCTTTGTTATCCTCAGGAGATTGATATAATTCACGGTCACCTGGTTGAAATGGGGTGATTTTATTAAGGGGACATTCAGAAGTGCCCGTTCCTGCTCGGCTGAACAGAAATGTTCCCCGCTGTTAGCCACGCGGTGGGGGGGAGGTGTGAAGTGATCATCCCAGAGAATTGGGTGTGTGTGGGGGGGGTAGTTGGGTTTGTACTGCATGTTAACCTGGAAACCGCAGCCCCTCCTTTTACATTGCAAACCCATTTTAAATGGCCAACCCAACGGGTGCTTGGTATGGGAAATGAGGGCACTGCTGTTTGAAACCATTCCCACATGTTATGAAGGTTAAAAAACCCAAAAGACTGTGGCTTACCATGGCTGCCTGCAAGCCGAATTCCGTTGCCTGGCACTGCGTGAGTGATCTCTCACACCAAACTGGCAGGCCTCAATATAAGAGGAAAAATGCGACCTTGTAACGAAAGCACATGTGCTGTGTAATGTGAACAGCAAAATTTAACGTGAAAGAGTGTACCTATTGTTCTCTAAAATGTGTCCTTTTTAACCACCTCTCCCTTCTCCTCCACCAGCTGCAAATGTTTCTCCTTCACAGAGGCTAGTGAAGATTGGAGAAAATGGCGGACTTGGCATGATATGTTCTCGGAGCTCCAGATGTCCTCCCACGCTGACAGAGCACAGCAGAATGCGTGGAGGCAGTCAATGTCAGAGTGCAGAAAAGCACAATATGAACGAGAGGAGAGGTGGCGGGCTGAATCGCGGGCTGAAGAGAGCAAGTGGCGGGCTGAAGAGGATAGGTGGCATCAGCTTGCTGACAGAAGGCAAGAGTCGATGCTCCGGCTACTGGAGCATCAAACTGATATGCTCCAGCGTATGGTTGAGCTGCAGGAAAGGCAGCACGAGCAGAGACCGCCGCTACAGCCCCTGTGTAACCAACAGCCCTCCTCCCCAAGTTCCATAGCCTCCTCACCCAGATGCCCAAGAACGCGGTGGGGGGGCCTCCAGCCACCCAGCCACTCCACCCCAGATGATTGCCCAAGCATCAGAAGGCTGACCTTCAATAAGAGTTAAAGTTTTAAACTGCAGTGTGTCCTTGTCCTTCCCTCCTCCCCCACCCCTCCCAGGCTACCTTGGCAGTTATCCCCCTAGTTGTGTGATGAATTAATAAAGAATTCATGAATGTGAAGTAACAATGACTTTATTGCCTCTGCAAGTGGTGCTCAAAGGGGGGAGGGGAGGGTGGTTAGCTTACAGGGAAGTAGAGTGAACCTGGGGGTGGGGGGGAGGGTTCATCAAGGAGAAACAAACAGAAGTTTCATACTGTAGCCTGGCCAGTCACAAAACTGGTTTTCAAAGCTTCTCTGATGCGCACCACGCCCTGCTGTACTCTTCTAACCGCCCTGGTGTCTGGCTGCGCGTAATCAGCGGCCAGGCGATTTGCCTCAACCTCCCACCCCGCCATAAATGTCTCCCCCTTACTCTCACAGATATTGTGGAGCGCACAGCAAGCAGCAATAACAATTGGAATATTGGTTTCGCTGAGGTCTATCCGAGTCAGTAAACTGCACCAGCGCGCTTTTAAACGTCCAAATGCACATTCTACCACCATTCTGCACTTGCTCAGCCTATAGTTGAACAGGTCCTGACTACTGTCCAGGATGCCTGTGTACGGCTTCGTGAGCCATGGCATTAACGGGTAGGCTGGGTCCCCAAGGATAACTATAAGCATTTCAACATCCCCAACGGTTATTTTCTGGTCCGGGAAGAAAGTCCCTTCCTCCAGCTTTTGAAACAGACCAGAGTTCCTGAAGACGCGAGCATCATGTACCTTTCCCGGCCATCCCACGTTGATGTTAGTGAAACGTCCCTTGTGATCCACCAGGGCTTGCAGCAGCATTGAAAAGTACCCCTTGCGGTTTATGTACTCGGTGGCTTGGTGCTCCGGTGACAAGATAGGGATATGGGTTCCGTCTATCGCCCCACCACAGTTTGGGAATCCCATTGCAGCAAAGCCATCTACTATGACCTGCACGTTTCCCAGAGTCACTACCCTTGATATCAGCAGGTCTTTCATTGCGTTGGCTACTTGGATCACAGCAGCCCCCACAGTAGATTTGCCCACTCCAAATTGATTCCCGACTGACCAGTAGCTGTCTGGTGTTGCAAGCTTCCACTGGGCTATCGCCACTCGCTTCTCAACTGTGAGAGCTGCTCTCATCCTGGTATTCTGGCGCTTCAGGGCAGGGGAAAGCAAGTCACAAAGTTCCATGAAAGTGCCCTTACGCATGCGAAAGTTTCGCAGCCACTGGGAATCGTCCCACACCTGCAACACAATGCGGTCCCACCAGTCTGTGCTTGTTTCCCGGGCCCAGAATCGACGTTCCACGGCATGAACCTGCCCCAGTAACACCATGATTTGCACATTGCTGAGGCCCGTACTTAGTGAGAGGTCTATGTCCATGTCAATTTCTTCATCACTCTCGTCACCGCGCTGCAATCGCGGCAATCGCCTCCTCGCCTGGTTTTGCTTTGGCATGTTCTGGCTCTGCCAAACATACTCCACGACAATGTGCGTGGTGTTCATAATGCTCATAATTGCCGCGGTGATCTGAGTGAGCTCCATGATCCCAGTGCTATGGCGTCTGGGCTGAAAAAAGGCGCGAAACTATTGTCTGACGGAGGGAGGGAGGGGTGAGTGACGACATGGCTTACAGGGAATTAAAATCAACAAAGGTGGCTGTGCATCAGGGAGAAACACAAACAACTGTCACACAGAATGCCCCCCCCCCCCCCAAAGATTGAACTCAAAACCCTGGGTTTAGCAGGCTGTTGATTTCACGGAGGGAGGGGGAAGCAAATGAATACAGAACAAATCTGGTCCATCTATCTTTTACATCTTAGGCTGGCAGCAGACGGTGCAGCATGACTGAGAGCCATCGGCATCTTCTGGGTGCTTGGCAGAAGATGCTGCATTACGATTGCTAGCCATCATCCTCAAGACGGTTCAATAGGACTGCCGGCAGGACTGAGTCTCCGGGAGACAAAACATGTCTGCCCAGGTGCCTCTGATCGAACTCACTGAGGAATACGACGATGATGGATATCAGTTGTAATACACCATCTACTGCCAAAAGGCAAGGAGCTGCTGCTGTATAGCAATGCAGCCCCACGTCTGCCAGCACCCAGATAGCCGATGACGGCTACCAGTCATACTGCACCGTCTACTGCCAAAAGGCAATTAGCTACTTCATCAAGTAGTAAGTGAACCGACGAGGGGGGATGCCATTTTAGAGTTAGTGCTGGTGAGTAGTGAGGACCTCGTTGAAGAAATGGTTGTAGGGGACAACCTTGGCTCGAGTGACCATGAGCTAATTCGGTTTAAACTTAATGG